AAGATTCAGGCGATGATGCTAGAACAGATGCCGCCAAGGATGTTGATGATGTGGAAGGGTCCGCATCAAAGATCAGTCTCAAAGGAAATAGGAAACAGAGGAAGAGGGATAAGAAGAATGCCAATTCCAAGGCGAAGAAGAAGAATGGTGAGATCGAAATCATTGACGATGAAGAGGACAACGAGGAGCCTTTCGATTATAGCAAGGCACAGTCCGTACTTCACGCTCAACGAGCCAACAATGGACCGACCACTAGAACATTCGATCCTTATCGGGCGAAGATGACGGCTGAAGGTCCCAAGGCCGCTCGGCGAATGCAGCACGAGAAGGCTGGTAAGAGCGCGACCTTTAAGAAGTGAGATTATGTACGATCATCTACACGATGCACAATCTCCGCGGAATCAGATTATTCTCAGTCTTATTACATGATTACTAGGCTAGAATATTTACAACCCATCAGTGTGACGGATTTCGGCCGTTGATTCCATCACACATTGGGAGCAAGACATGAGACGTCAGATCGTTACGGCATCACGATACGTTGTGACATGATTCACGATAACGTATGAGAAAGTGAAGCAAACATTTATAACCTAGTCTTTCCAGCTAAGACAAGCATGCAGCCAACCAGGCTTCACATTTCTGAGTCTACGATTCCAGTCTCTGATATCATCCGAGTAGCTTCGGCTCCTTGTTTAGTAATTCTAGAACTCACATAGAGCAATACCCCAGTTGATGGAGTTTCCCAACTTTCGAAATCGACTAGCAAAGTGCGTTATAAAATGTGGAGTTGCATTCGGATTGCGCAGTTGAGCAATTTGACTCGCCTATGGCTTGATCGAATGAACCGAGGTGTACGATCTGCAACTAACTCAAGTCAAGTAAGGATAAACCTATGTCCAAAGCCACTTTCCGTCACTTAGTCTGAAGCCGCATGCCACCACATATCGAAGTCAGAGGTGCCAATTGAGGTCATTCGTATCCAGTGAAGAGTAGACGGGAACAAAAGCCGTGTTCTTATACCCCCCTCAGCATGCCAATTCCACGCGCTACGGTGAGCACTACCAGTTGCCCGAAAGTAATCGCCTATTGCCGTCGTGCCGGTCTCCTGCGTCCCTAGACTGTCTCACTGCTTCCTCCGAACCTCGATGCTTGTCAGCCGTCGCCGACTACGCACATTGACAGCTCGACTTAGCTCCCCGCAGCTGCAGCGTCCTGCGGGATGGCGTCGTGGGGCGGCGAGTGATCCCATAAGACCCAAGCTCCATCCCACCCAATTTGGCGACTGGAGAGCACGAAGAGCTGCTTCCAATGCTACTGCCACTACCCTTGCGACATCTTCCCTCACATCCCCGAATATAATATCTGAGAGATCAATTGACCCAGCCCAAACTTCGAAAATGGAGGAAGAATTGCTCGTTCCAAAAAGGCTCCCTGACGACACTCATGAAGTGATCGTGGTGCTGGAGACGATCCACGTGCCAATGCCGGAGGTTGATACGGGTTGCAAGACTCACGAGGTACTGTTATATAAGTACACGGGCCCAAAGGACGTCGCAGCTCGGATCAAAAATGCAAGCATTGTGTTTGTGACGACTTGCACGCTGAGTGCGGAGAGCTTAGGAGAAGCACCTTACCTGTAAGACGCTATTCATTACCTGGTCAACTTTGCACCGGACGGGAGCATTGGATGAAAATATGAATGCGAGAGGAACTTGTTAGACTCGTGGGGAAGCCAATCAAGCTGATGGTAGAACAGAAAATGCATCATCAGCCATCCGACTGGCACTGACCATATCGACCTGGATGAGTGTCGCCGCCGAAACGTTCAGGTCATGAACTGCCCCAGCGTCAATATCGAGTCCGTCTCTGAGCATGCGCTGGCACTGGTAATGCCACTTCTTCAAGAGGCAACAAAGTCCCCCACTGACATCATCACAGTACCTCACAACCAGGAGATCCTTGATCACCTTACACAACACACTCATGGACTTTGGGCCAGGACAACCGAACGACTGGAAGACAAAGGGGAGCTTGGGCGCCAGGCTACGAGACCCCAATGGCCGCGCTCCAAAGACATGTGAACAGGAAATCGCCGGTATAATCGGCTACGGAGCTTTAGGAAAGCGTATTCGAAAACTTTGCAGCGCATTGGGGATGAAGGTGCTCATTGCCGGGCGAAAGAACGGCGACGTCAATGGCCACAACTCCTCTGCCGGCTGTGATGATATCCCGCGGACGCCCTTCGCGGAGGTCCTGGCCAGCGCCACCGTGATCTTCATAGCAGTGCCTATGATGCCCAGCACGGCAGACCTCTTTTCGTCCGCCGAGTTTGCCAAGATGCGCCCAGAAGCTGTGCTCGTCAATGTGTCGAGAGGCGGGATTGTCAACGAGCCGGCTATTGTGTCGGCTCTGAAGCAGCGCCAGATCTTTGGGTACGCGACGGATGTTTACGCACGGGAACCGGCTGGGTCGGATGAGGACAGTGTGCTGCTCTCAAAGGAGGCGAGAGGATTGAACCTTACACTGACCAGCCACTTGGCGTGGTTCGCAGACACCACATTGCTAAATATCCAGCGAAAATGCCAGCTGAATGTTAAGGGGTTTGTAGATGGTGAAGGAGGTGACGTTGTAGTTAAAAGAATATAATGAGCTTCACAAGCATTTAAAGTATTTGCAGTCCAAACGCTTCGTCCCGAACCGGATATTAGTCAGATCGAGTCAGGTCGCACTCGATGAATGTGAGGTCAAGGCATATCATTACTGGTAAGATAATCTTGTATTGTATTGTATGATATTGGTCAGACCGAGAGTAGGATGGAACTTAAAATCCGCCTTTCCGACCGCGTTGAAGCAGTTCCCCAAAAACTCCCTATATAATTCTGCAACTATTGCAACGCCTGATGAATGCATGCAACATGGACACTTTTTTCCTTGAGACCCGCCTCTTTCCCGCAAGCCCTTTCCTTATGGTTAACAAAGGATATCTGTGGTCTTTTTTTCAAGAAGCCGATGCATCTGAGACCTAACAAAGCCCTGCTGGTTGAACACCTGCATAGCCGCCGCCGACGAAATAAAACATGGTATCACATTCGCTTGCCTCTTAGATGGAGGCATCGGTGCGCCAGCCCTCAACGGGGAGGGGGAAGGTGTGGCACCAGGCAGAGATATCCTTCTTGGCCGCGTTGATCTTGTCAACCTCGCCGCTGGCAACCTTGACCTTGAAGTCCTTAAGCTTGTTGGCCTCCTTGGGCAGAGAGCCCTGAACCTCCTTGCAGATCTTGATAGCCTGGTCAATGTAGACAGCAACGCGCTCGAAGTCCTCCTCGCCGAAACCACGGCTAGTCATGGCAGGGG